ATGACCTTGTAAATGTGGATCAATGGCTCGTTGCAAACAAACTAACCTTAAATGAGGGCAAAACGGAATTTATAATAATAGGCTCAAGGCAACGAGTGTCTTCTTTCGAACATGGTCCCTTAATTAAACTTGGTGACAAAGTAATTAAGCGTGTACCACATAAAAAAATACTTGGTGTTATCTTAGATGAACAACTTAAGTGGGACAAACATAACGAGGAACAAAGTAAAACAATTTCAAAGAACATTGCTCTGCTAAGAAGAGCTAAGTCTTTCGTTCCCAGACATGTTCTGGAGAAAATGTATAACGCTTTTATGATTCCTAATTTTTACTATTGTTCGACTGTGTGGCATGACGGAAGTAAAAACAAATTAACTAAAATGTCTAAACTTCAAAAGAAAGCGGCACGAGTAATTACCGGTGATTCCTACGATATTCGATCTAACGAAGTATTTCAAAAACTTAACTGGTTACCAATGAGCACATATTTACAAACTCGAGAGAACATAGCTACTTTCGAGGCATTAATCGGAAATTCGCCTCCATGTCTTACTAAATTATTTAATCGTTGCTCGAATGAAACATATAATTTGAGAAGTAATTTTGACCAACTGTCATTAGCAAAACCTAGCACAAATTTTCTTAAGAAAAGCTTTTCCTATAGAGCGGCAAAATCGTGGAACAACCTTCCCTTAACTTTAACGCAAAACATCGGTAATAAAACAGCGAATGTATTAAAGACATTGCTCATCAATCACTATGGTAACGACTATAGTGATTGACGAGTACCCCTTGTACGTGTACTTTATATGCTGTAATAATTAAGTATTATTGTACTAGTAAAGATAATTAGTATACATTGTTGTATTAGTGACTGAGTAGTGTGAAGCTGATGAGTAGTTAGGCTTCATAATTATTATTGTAAATTTTTATTGTGTACACGGCCCATTGAAAACCAGCGAATGCTGAATGGCTACCGTGTTTAAATCATTTTAATAAAACAATAAAACAGCCTCAAAATATAGAGGATATTAGACGATTACGAAGAGATATGGATTTTATGTACGAGTTGCAAAAACAATATCGCAGGAGTGAGCGCAGCCAACGAGTGAGATATTATTTTTGACACGAGAACATAAATCCATATATTCTCGCAACTGTTTAATGTTCTGTTTATTATATGGACTCATTCAGAGTGACAAAAATACACACAATGACACAAAGACGACATTTAAATAAGCACGCGAAAGACCAGTGTAAAAGCGATATTTTTTTAAATTATAGTGCAAACATAGAACTAGAATAAATTTTACTTATCTCAAGATGTCTTTTAAATGTTTTCGTTTTATTTCCAACGTTAATTTCGTTTTAAATACGAACCAAAGACCATTTGTATTTCCAAAACAACAATGAAAATGGCGGGAAATTTTCAAACTTCGTATGTCACTAGCATAGATCACTAGCAGGGGTGAAATACGGAAAATATGCGCACCTGGTCAGGGTTGTAGTGACGTATGAGTTCTACAGGGGCGCCGGAAAGTCGATAATTGGGGGGGGCAGATATTCATATATTCATGTTCACAGACTGTAAAAACAATCGCAGAACATGAATATATGAATATCTGCCCCTAGTGTTTTAGGTTCCGGTAAAACACCATTGTCCATATAATAAAATATACTTTGGTTCCTCTTGGTGTGTAATGTTTGCATGCCGTATTTTCAATTCCAGGTTATTTTTTGACGTCCTTTTGTCTATATTGTTGTGGGAATTTAAATGTTTAATTAATCACTTATGTACTGAAGCATTGCGTTGTATTTCATCTGCTTCCAAAACAGCGACGTGTAGCCTATATAATTGCTAAGATATATTAGAAAAACATGCATGCGGCAACCATCGCCTATATTTTCCAAGCATTGATTTAACATGAAATATTAGTAATTGGCCAACACTTAACGCAGGCTTGCGTTGCGCGTCAACTGAAGTGTTCCATGGCAACACAATTATTTTCTTAATTTCTCAAAAGTGTTAAAAATTAGCAAATATAAAACATTTTCCGTGTTGGTATACAATTATATCAACACGAGCGGAAATTGGGAAAACGAGAAATTGTGTGGAAACACAATGCCCGAAGGGCGGAGTGAGTTCACACAATTTCGAGTTTTCCCAATTTCCACGAGTGGTGATATAACTGTATATCAATACGGAAAAATGTTTTATATTTGTTGTATAATTTTGCACAAAGAAATATAAAGAAAGAAATTTTCCGACGTTTCCGTGTTGACACTGAGTGATATCAACACGGCTCTTAGCCAATCAGCGTTCAGAATTTACAAATGCTATATTATATATTTTTTTAAAATATAGCATTTGTAAATTCTGACCGCTGATTGGCTAAGAGCCGTGTTGATATAACTCAATGTCAACACAGGAAATTTTCCGCCGCTTGTAAACACGGAAATTTCTCTTACCCTTCGGGCATTTGACATTGCCATATTATAAAAAAAATATAAAACATTTTTTCCGTATTGATATATAGTTATAATCAACACTCTTGGAAGTTGGGAAAACTCGAAAATGTATGAAAACACTCTGCCCTTCGGGCGTCGTGTTTCCATACAATTTCTTGTTTTCCAAATTCCACTCGTGTTGATATAACTGTATATCAACACGGAAAATGTTTTATATTTGTTATTATAAAATGGCAAAAATAGTTGAATGTTTACTTTTAATTTATATGCAACAAATCAACAATGAAATGCCGAAATATATACCGTAAGTATTTTATTTTGCATTTTGTTATTTTTCATGTAAAATTTAATCTGAAACGCTTCGTAATTTTTTAAAAATTTCATTCATGAAATCTGCTTTTGCTGATATTTAACAAAATAAACAAAATAATCAAGTTCAAATTAGAGAGCTTAAATTATTCTCCTTATTTCTTCAAAACAAAATTGCTTCCAAGCTCATTGAATGGAACGATTTCATATTTTTGAGATCAGTGGGAAGCTATACTATCTTGGACAAAACCCTTGAGACCATTCCAGCCAATATTACAAAGTTATTGAACATTGACAAAACAAACGTTGTCTCCTCCTCCCCCCCCCCCCCAGTTCAATGTTGTGAACAACGCCGAAATTTTTGGTAATATTATACCTCAAATTCAAATTGTCCAATGAAAAAACAGCATTTGTACCACGTGATAGGGTGATTTTTTACGGTATTTCACTCAAATTCATGATTTCGCGATCCAGCGTGGGATACTATAATATCCCACGACAGATCCACCATGGGATATTATAGTATCCCACGCTCACGCGCGACGCGTGGACACCACGCTCTGAAGCAATATGGCGTTCGCGAGCTGTTGTTTGTATTAATTTCGTACAGAACTCAGAAAATTTATTAAGTAAACCAAAGATTTCAACACGTATGTTACATTCAACGACCCAAAGGATACTTGCTCAAATATTTTAAGGAGAAAACGTCAAAAACTCAGGTATAGATAAGGAATTAAAACTTTGTATTCGCGTAGTTAATACTCAGCAAGTTTTAAAGTATATTCTGAACTTAATAGACTCTTAGTGAGTTCTTTAACTTTCGGTATAATATATCATTTATAGACCCTCCGCTCGGGGGATTCGGCGATATTTCCCTCAGTGATGATAAATATCATCACTTCGGGAAATATTATGCCGAATCCCCCTCGCTCCGGGTCTATAAATGATAAATATACCATGATACAAGCTCAACATTGAGTTGGGGGAGCAGGGGTTTAAGAAGGGCAACATGATTCAACATGAAGTTTATCATAAAAATACGCGAATTTTCTATAGAGGGAAAATAGTCTCAACCAGTTACGTTCAAGATTGTCTGAATGTGGGAATTTTACCTATATGCATACCAATTGTTTGAGAGTTATTGTTAGAAAGGCAGATATGTTAGTGTTGCGATCAGGGGCGTAGGAACCGGTGGGGCCAGCCCCCCCCCCCCCC